GTTATCAAGATGTATCTTGCCTGTTGCTGGAAAAATATTTTTCGAAAAAATCCAATTTTTGTGATTTTTCAAAAGTCATCGATTTTGTAATTCATCTTTTTCGGAGACAAACCAACGAAACAAAATATTTTTTTTTACCAATCGATAGCTTATGGAGTTCACTACAAGACATCTCCCCAAAGTTTTTAAATTCCATCCTTTCTTAATTTTTTGCCATCGATCTACAAACGGTCACTCCAGTGACCAAAGGGGGGTAAAGGGTTAAAGAAAAATAGTATACATTACTTTGGTACTGGAAATCAGTTTAAATTACTTTATCGACTCAAATTTCTTTGAAGTGCTTTAAACAAAATTAGTTTCTATTTGTAAATTAGTTCAAATAAATTTCTATTAACAAATTTTGATTTTAATCTTAATCAACAATACATCGTAAAAAGTTTAATACAATCATCTTGTTCATAACAGCATACATGTGTACTTTAGAAAATGTGTACTATTTTAATTGGTGGTTACAGTTTTTATCACAGAGCCGTATGCTGACCGTTTTCGTTTTTGTGAGAAACTTTTCAATTCAAATGACCAACCATTTAATCAGTACCGTGCGGATATAATAAAATACACAAGAAAAAGTCAGGTTTCTCTGGCATACACACCAACTAATTTCTTGATACTCTTTGGCTTACAAAGAATTTTTCAAATCGCGGCAAAATGAAAGAATTCTCGATTCATCATCGGTTTGGAGGTGATTGTTCGCGGAAATGTCGTGCGACGATCATTGATCATATGAGGTAACGAAAAAACTGTATTCCGTTGTCTAACGCACAGAAAAAAATACTTTTTTATCAAATTAATAATAAATACAGAATGATGCATTTTTGATACTCAATTTTAGCATAGTAGATTATTTTTACTGTAGCAATTTGAGTTCAATCGAAATGATCCTTTCATTAAAATGGAGCTCATAGATGAATAATTCTTTTCAGATAGTTTTTCATATGAAACTATTCCAATAAGTTGATGAAAACATCTGATGATTGATCTGATGATTGCGATTTTTGAACAAATTTCTTACGAGGGAACATTTTCAACTGCCTAACTCTGATTTTTTTCAAACCTATGTCAATGGATAGCCCACATCGAGACAGTGAAAAGCCTAGAAGGATTCGGGCTCATGACTCTGAAAGATCCGGTTTTCTGGAAAACCAGTTTTTCAGAAACTCTAAAAAATATCCAAAACTTTTTCTTAATGATGCTTGATTGTAGACCGCGTATTTCTGATTAAAATGAGTCGTCCCCAAAAATACACGACCTTTCTCTGCAAAGTTATAGAATTCACAAGCAAAGCCTTAAATGTTCATTGTCAGCACAAAGCTACAGAAATAAGAAGAAATTGATTTAGGGCTTTGCTTGTAAATTCTATAACTTTGCAAAGAAAGGTTGTGTACAGTTGGGGAACGTCTCATTTTAATCAGAAATGTGTGGGCTACAATCAGGCATCATTAGGAAAACGTTTCGGCTATTTTTTAGAGTTTCTGAAAAACTAGTTTTCCAGAAAACCGGGTCTTCCAGAGTCATGGGCCCGAATCCTTCTAGGCTTTTTACTGGCCTAACAGAGGCAGAGCCAGAAAACTATATCGCGCAGTTAATCGCTAGGCTCAATCCAATGATTTGTTGATAAGTTTACCGTTTATTCATACACAAAAACACCTTTTAGAACAATTTAGTACAACTCATCCTCAAGTTCTTCGATCAATTGAACAACTTCTATTTCCACTACCCGACGTGTATTGCAAAAACAGCAAAATATAAGTTCTTTCATTACTTGATAGGCTGGTTGATGATATTTATTCACTTGTTTTTCCATCTTATAATCAAGGGGGAAACACCATGCTCTATACTCCACTACTCCGCAGAGTGAACGTCCACTCCGGTTCACTCCGGAGTGGACGAAGCGACGGGGTGACAAGTACTATAACTCTCTTCTCTCGCATTTGTTGATGAGCTTTCTTCTCGGGAATAGTATACACAGCACTAATGAATGCTAACAATCCAAATTCTTGCCATAATTCAGCTCCCGTAAATCCCAATATTCCCATAATTCCTGATGTTCTTAATGTTCCTGTAGTTCCTTTAGTGAGCATAGTTTCTAATGTTCTTAATCCTAGGAACATTGAGAAGTATAAGAACATTAGGAACTAGGGGAACATTGGGAGCTAAACAATGCTGCAACTAAAAAAAGAATTTGAGAAAGCAAAGCGCGTCAATCGAAAATATCAAACTCCATTCCAGGGTCGCTCCGTTCACTCCGGTTAAACTCCGCGGAGTGACGGAGTTAGCGGGGTACGGTGTTTCCCTCTTGATATTTATACAGCTAGCTGCAACGGATATCGAAACTAGTTATAGTTAGCTGCAGCGCGCACCATCAGCTTATTTTTTCATGTTTGGGATATTAGTCATCTACATGACCAATTAAACGTGACAATTGTCGAAGGACTGAAATTAAAAGACAAAGATGCTATTGGCAGGGATACTGCTTATGTTGAATTACATGCGGGTAAAGATTACATACAACGAACATCGACAAGAAAAGATATGAATAATCCAATGTGGAAAGAGACATTTACCTTGTAAATATTTTATCTTTTTCGAACAGTTACATGATGATAGTCTATTCTGGTAATCTCCGTAAACATAAGGATGATTTACATTTACAGGCTTACGGTGATGATGTTGTTGGCCGGGATTTATTGATTTTATTGGTTCATGTAAAATTGATTTGAAGAAACATGTCTTTGGCAAAGGTGTTTATGCTTTTTTATTTTTTTTAATTAATAATGTTTTCTTTTGACTTATAGTGCAACTCTTTATCAAAAAGAGATGACGTTCGTCGAAGGATATTGTTTGTGTACCTATTTGGACCACTGATGAAGAAGGGTGGTACACGATTCTCTGATAGAGAATATATAAACATTTAGACGATGTATCAATGAGATATCAATGACATCAATGAGACGTCCGCTAAATTTGAGTTTCTTCTTTGGGTGGTAGTGGGCAAACAGTTATTATCCATCTCTCTGAAAGACCACTTATCAATTGTACTAGTCAGGTTCTTTCTAATTTAACATGAGTTTTTCGAGAAAAATTTCATATTAACATATGGATCGCAATTCTCCCATGTGCTTTGCGGAAAGTTCATAGTTGTTTAGTATATGTATAGTTTGATATTGAAGTACACTGATTTCTGAAAGTTCTGACGCCCACGATCGTTGGCATATATCCACTGTTTATACTAGTATGAAGAAGAGAAAAGTGGAAGGGAAAAGTTATTTTCACTGTCCAGTGGAAGAAAATATAAAAAGAAATCGTCTTTGACGTTGATTCGTGGATGCCTGCGTATTCGTATAGTAGACTATAGGTTGAGGAAAGAAAAAATGTTGTGTACGATTTGATAATATGTTTGTACAGTAGAAGAAAGAAAAGCAGGAAAAACTTATTTTTGTTATTACATGTGCGTATGTTTGTCTATGTAGTCGTTAGGAATTGTTATCGTTTTGTATTTATATCGGATGGAGAATACGGTATTTTTACAATAGCCGGATTAAGAGTGAAAAGCGTTTGTAAATAACCATTTTTATTTTGTTGATTATGTTCTAAATAAAATAAAGCTTTTAGAGTTTAATTAAAGGGGAAAATGCAGTATCCCATACTCCCAGACACTCTCGAAAACTCTAAGGACGTCCCTATAAAACTAGAGTTTCCCAGATTATCCCAAAGCATCCGAGAGTTCCCGGAGTAATTTAGGATATCCCAGAGTATTGCAGTGTTTTTGAGAGTATCCCGTAGTATGTATTTCTACATCCTACAGTACGTATTTTCTATACATATACTAAAGTGTGTGTAATATAGACTTGAAATTCCTGAAATCCCGAAATCGTGATATCCCTGTGCGTATATATAACTACATATACTACAGTGTATAACACACTGTACTATAGTGTGTGTAATACAGTAAAAGGAAAGATAAAAACAGCTTACTGGAATTATTTAGTGCATCGTGTTGGATGAAAATGAGCCATAACCCAATATTTTCAATCGTACATACAGTATACTAATAATTTGTACGGTATACTACAGGTTGTGTAATGTACTTAGGGCATACCAAAAGTAGTGAGAGTTCCAATTTTTTCTTCCAAAGTAGGCTTTAAGAAATTTTCTTTTTATGTAGTCTGATAGAGAAAAAAAAGCTCTATCTTTTTATGCTATTTGATCATA